ATCTGTGGATCACAAGAACATCTGTCCGTCTTTTAAAATTGCGTGAGCTTAGAAATGCACCACTGCTTCTGAAATTGTCATGCATTGAATCAAGAAACCGGCCGGCGTCAAAAAGCGCCGTAGCTGAGCACCAAGGCTTTCGGATTTTTGAAGGAGAGTCGCACTGCGGCTGCTTCATGCTTACGGTCCAGATGCTGCAGAAGATCTGAGGATCATATTAACATTGCATTCAACTTGACTGATGACACGCTGTGAATTGATGGCTCTTTAGCTTGACGTGTTTCCATGACCTTTTGCTTTATGATCGCGTGTCTGGTTGGTTATAAATGGACGTGGATTCTGGTTCAGGGTTAGGAAACACAGATTGCTTGTTTGTGCCGTGGAGGCTGCATTAGTCCAGATGGATGTAACATTCAGAGGCATCTATCTGGTGTTAAGTCTTGCCACTCTCTTAAATTTGGTCCCTTGTCGACTTTGTTCACTCCTGACAGGGTCAACTTATGCCCCAAGAAGATTTGGAGAAACTAATCGAATGCAATAAAAAGGCTGGGTGGGGGGAGGGTCTCTCAGGTAAGGAGGGGGCATTGGATGAATATTGTCACGTGTGTAGATGAGAGCTAGGGAGTGTGCTTGACAATCCCCCCCCCCCCCCCCAAAAAAAAAATGAAAAGCACTGCTATGTGCTTGTGGTGATGTAGCATTTTTATTGAGCATGGCAAGGCTGGAGATTCAGGCCCAAGGATGAACAAGAGCAGCCAGATTGTATTTTCGTTCTCATCACTTCGTGCTCTTTCATCTCAGCGTCGGGGAGTTCAGTCAACAAGGGGTTAAACTTGCCTCCTCAGCAACCAGAAATCTCACCATCTATCTCCCAGTAAGAACGAGGATCAGTTTGACAGCTCTTCAAAGTCTTCATATGATTCCAGAGAGTGACATCATCTCTCCTGTTCCTCAGCACACCACAGATTTCTAGCATGAGTAAAAGACATTTCAGACTGGCCACTTCTTCCAGCCTAATGAGAACACCTCTGGCTCCAATACACTTGGATCCAGCAGAGAAATACTAAGTGACTTCCATGTCATTAATATTAATCTCTGCAACCTCTTTCTTCCCAGTAGAGATGCACTTAGATCCACCTTGGGATTGCAAGTTAAAGTTTTAGCAGTTAAACTGTGCATTGTTGACATCGCCAAGCAGAGGATTTTGTATCTGCTATTGTTTATAATAGATGTTTTCAGAGTTGAATAACAGAGAATTTATGTAGCAGGGATGTATTTCCCCAGAACAAAAAAAAAGCCGTGGATTATTTTCATTCTGTAGTTCATTAAAGCCCGTCATCACTCATGCATTGAACTGATTGGCTATCGTCTGCAGTGGAATGACAATGATAAGACAGAGGCAACCAATCCCAATGTGCATCCATACTCACTGTACTGTTCTATGATTTTATGCATGCCACACAATAAGAGATTCATACATATGCTACATATTTTAACAGCTTACTAGAGTGAGTAAAGAATATGGATAAAGTAAAGGTTTAACACTACATGTTTGTCACAGTAATACATCTAACAAATGCTTTATTTCACAGCTTCACAGGGTCAGTATTACTTTTGAAATTTGATGCTAATATATATAAAACAGTCTTAAGTGAATTACTTTCTTCATACAAACACATTCATTAAAACAGTTAATGTTCATCAGTAGTATAACTTGATCCCATGGTGTGGTCTCAGTTGGTAGGCTTCTGACTGCTTAGTGATACAATCTGTGTGTTTTTTTTGCAGTAACATTAGTGTGGATCTGCCTCTGGGTTTTAATGCTCTGCCTTGATGTTTGAGAGTAATCAGGCTGAACGACTGAACAGAACTCCAGCGATACTCTCTTGTCATCACCAATACAGATTACATTGTTTAAAGGAAACATTAGGAGTTTGTTGGAAATCACAATTGACAAGGCTCTAAAAATTAGGAAACAAGTCCATGGCATTAGGCTTTCACCTAAATCATTTCACGCATATTCTGAAAGAGTCCAATATTAAGTATTCCACACTCGATTAGATGGCTCAGCAAGCTTCTTCCATTATTCTAGGGCATCTTCATCATAAAAAAGCAACTCATGTTTTTCAATATTTAATATGTGCTGGAAAATGTATGCCAGGAGTAACTAAAGCCAGTCAGTGTGACTGGTATTTTATTTTATTTTTTAAAAGCATTCTTCGATTTAAAGTGTTTCGCGCATTCCTTAATTTTATGTTTTTCTTGGAATGGGCTGAATGAACAGTCTGAGATCAGATAACTGAGGTAATACAACATTATTAAGAGTATCTACTACAATAATCTAAAGGAAAACACATCTTTAAAATAAAAGTGTCATTAAAAATGTATGCTATTTCCCTCCAAAGGTGCCCCTGATTTGTCTGCGGGCATTCTGTAGACAGGACTGCCTCTAATGCCATGCTTCACTATTCTGGTCCTTGTGATCCATGCTGTATGCTGGCCCAGCTGAGCTCTTAATTATTCAGGGGAATTTTAATTATTAATTTAACGCACCACAGGATTTAAATCATGCTACTGAATTTGTTTGATCAAATCTTGCTAAAATTTTTAATCCTGTTAAACAAAAGTAAAAACAAAAGTTTTTTGAATGAAAAAATGTACACACCCTTTACCAACTTTCTTTGCAAAAAAAAGTGAGACGGCCCTACAAGACGCAGGCGCAGATGGGGCTTGTTCAAAGCATGGTTCCACATTTCACCGAAGAACGTTTCTGCACGTGTTTGAGCTGCACGCATGATCACAGCGATCGCCGGTTTAACCCCAGACTACATCTGAAAATGGGTCCCCACGTCAAAAAACAGGATTTTATTACATTGTGGGGACATTTGATAACCCTAACCCCCTTGTAGCCCTAACCCTAACTATAAGTAACCAAACAAAATACTAGTCTTTTTTTGAAAATGTGTACTTTTTTGATTGCATTCACAGATCTTTGTGGGGACCTGAAAAGGTTAAAACAATGCTGTGGTCCCCACAACATCAAAATGACAGGTTTTTATTACATTGTGGAGAATATTTGGTCCCCACAATGTAGTATAAACATAATCCACACACACACACAAACAAACTCCTTTACTGAAGTGTGTTGTGGCTTTTGATGCAGAAATATTTCATTAGGATTCCCATTTTCTTAGCCCCCTCCCCAGCATGAAGGGGCATTTTTTGGTGGCTCAACAACATTACTATAGATTAGTTTGATGAACGAGTCAGTGTGGATGATTAAGATGATTAATCATGACCCACAACAGCTACACCTTATACTACACATTTTTGGGTTTAAAAATATCTTATGATATTTGTGTGATTTAATTGCATTTTATTTGAAACACAGACACAGTATCTATCACTAGAAAACAATAATTCCATTTTGATGATGACAAAGGTAAACATAACCGGTAGTCATAGATATGCCTGGTCAATGCTAATCTCAGGTTTTTTTGGCCTCATTTCCAAAAACATGTACTTTTCCAATATAATTGCATGAATAATCTTGAGTATGAAACACAAATTCTATGAATATGGGATAAACAATTAATCTTTCTCCTCAGAACTGTGAACAAATCAGTGTACTAATCACTCTCAAATTTTGACATTTTCCGAATAAATTATTCATCATGAACGGAAAACATTATGTTCATTCAAAGCTCTGTGGAGTCTAAGTAAAGATGCATCGTTTCATAAACTATCTTGGAAAAAGAAATATTTTGTATCAAGGCAGCTGTACAATGGTGTGGTCCAGTTTCCACAAATGTATAGCTTTATTACATTCTACTCTGCCTTGTACACTGTTCCTTCCGAGACAAGTCCCCAGATTACCGGAGGACAAAACGGACCCCATCTTGACATTTGAACTTCTAACCTCTATGGAGACAATACTTGGGTGCCATATTGGGGGGATTTTTAATCTGGTCTTATTTTATATTTAAAATTAAAAAACAATTTTGAGTCATGAAACTGTCCATTGTACAAAGAATTCACAAAAATCTAAATTTGCATATCAAAATATGGGTATGTCCATTAATCTAAATTAATGTAATGAATGTGAAAGGACTAAATATTTTACTGCAAATCATTTTTTTTTTCTTCAGAAATTCGGCCTCATCTTCAATCTCAACTTCATCCATTCTTATCACCAGCAGCACTCAGTTCATATTCGACCATAAATAGACCCATTTCCCATTCCTGCCTACAGCCCAATTCGCAAGAATCTCTGGAGGAGTTTTCCCATCCACTGACAGTTTAATTTAATGTTCACACCACATGCTGTAACCACAAAAACTGCTATTGCCGTTTGGTGTTAAGTTTTACAAATGATACCCATAAACTGGTTACTTACATTGTACTGCAAAATTATTGCATGTGTTTTTAAACAAATTTATTTGTATTTCTAATATTATTTAGTTTATTAGTTTTGTTTTATAAGTGCTTTCTGGCACTTACCAGGCTGTTCTTAATGCTTTGTCTGGTAAAATAAAGGTTAATGAATGAATGAATGAATATTATTTTAAAGAGATTAGGGGTAGCTGCATTCAAATTGTCGCTTTTAGCAGTCGTTTTAGTTTGCCTCCTATTTAGTTTGCATTCCCCTTTCTATCAGTAATCATTTATTAAAGCTTTTTCTATGGATGATGGTTCCTGTGAGCTCTCTGTCCATAGTTTCCAGTTACAACCCTCATATACTGCACTCCATTCATTAAATATGACAAAGGAGAAATGCATCGTTTGCCATTCATAAAAAGGCATAGTCTAAAATAAACATCTCTTGAGTGCGTAACCTGTCCGGAAACATGAGATATGCTACATATATAATTCCCCTAATCTGAACAAATACAATAGAACTTTGACGCTAATTCGGATTTTATTATATTTCAAAATCCGCTTTCCTTTTCCTAAAAAAAAGCACACCCTTTGCTAACCTCCCGACGGCCCTGCATGAGACGCAAGCGCAGATGCGGCTTGTTAAAAGCGCGCTTCCACATTACGCCCCGCAAAGTTTCTGCATGTGTTTGAGCTGCAACGCATGATCGCGTCGATCGCCCGATTAACACCAGGCTACATCTCAGTATTCGCCGTCACTAGTAACGCTGTAAAGAGGTAAGCAATGTAACGAATGTACTGTGATCATTTAACATCACATCACTGAATATGATACTCATCTCAAGCCGCTGAGTTAAACTTGCCAGCATCTTGGTCTACAGCAGAAAAATGTGGTCACGATGTTGCTTATAATGCAGTTAACACTGCCAGGCTAATTATAACCTCCAGGCTCCTGCAACTTGAGTTCTCTAGCTAGCCAGTAATGGTTATTCTGTAGCCAAAACTATTATTTTACTTGTTACTTAAGAAACAGTTGTTCATTTAACTTTTATTGATATATCAAAAACATTACTTAGTTCAGAGCTTCAGATTGATAATTACGATTTTCGTTGTAATCTTTTTGAGAACTTGAGTGACCTTTTTGGTTGAATAGCGTATTTTAACACGAGACTGCTTCCATTCTAACAATTTTTTTGGAATTTGGTTATAGTGCAGTTATTTTAACGTAGTTAGTTTCTGATTGTTTCAATTTTTCAGACGAATGATCATCCGTCAGGCTCTCACTTAAGTAGTACTTAAGCGGGGTTATTTACTCATGGATGCCACGTAGGGATTATCTTTGCACAGTGTGGTCTAGCGTTTTGCTTCGTAACGCCCCGATCTCTGCCTGGCCTGATCCGGTGCTCATCGGAGCCACGTGTATGTCTTTGCCGGGGTTCGGAGGGAACATCCCATGGCTATCGCTGTGTCCGATGCTAGGGGCGAATCAAATGTTTCTCATTTGTAACTTAACACACAAGTTAAGTTGATAAAACACAGAAGTATTACAGTACACATTTCTTAAAATTCTTTCCTGGTGGGTAATTGCAATTTTTTGGGGGGGCCAGTGCGTGTTTTTTCTCCTACGTATGTCTGTTTAGACTCATGGTTCACCCTCAGTTCGCAAGATACTAGGAGGAAACGCTATACACATAGCGGGACACTTGTAGCAAACGCATGTTTCTCTCATTAACTGCACTAGCGCGGTACTTCCTGCTTACGTAAGCGGTTAGATCCCTGGAATCACGCTGCACCAAAACAGGACGCGAGCTCATGTGATACGCGCGCGCGCCATGCCCTTTAATGCTGCGCTCAGGCTTTGCACAGCCCCGGGAAGGTCTGAGGTCCTCTTGGTTTCCTCATACACTCGATTTATGGTTCCTTGTTTTATGTCCCGGAGGCCACAATTATTGCAGTGCAGTTTCTCTCCCACTATCATTTCTGTATTACATCCTCTGTTTTAATTTCCTATTTCAGGGTGCTTTGCAGGCATGTCTTGTTGCAGCAGACACAGGAACATGCACTGATAGATACAAATGAACAAAAATAATCTCATTAATTTTGCAATATACCGCCATCAATATTATAGTGTTAATAAGAATGGAGTCAAAATATACACTTTCTGGCTACTGTATCCTGCAGCCCCTGCTCAGTTCCACTTTGCAGACTAAAAAAAAAGAGATTCTAACGCCAATCTAATAATATTTCCACAATGTGCCAAAAGTGAGTGAAGAAGCACAAGAGAAAAATTATCGCAAAAGACCTTTTAGCCTTTACTGAGACAGAGATTAAGAAACGGATAAAATGCTGATTGGTCAAAGACCACCTTTCCGTTACACCACAAAAACAGCTGTGCTTGCACACTTAGTGTCACACTCCAGAAAAATGGAACCAAGGAATTGTAAGACATCTACCAAACGTGAGGAAGGGGGATTATTTCTAAGAATGATTTACCACTTTGACACACTCTCGTTAGAGTACTATGCCGGTGATGCTTTTACTCTGCTATAGGTGTTGTCTTCTGCATTTGCCACTGATAGCCGCGATGTGAAATAGATTTTGTGGTGTTCATGCAAACGGCAAGTGTGCATTGTGGCTTCTCAGCAGAGTGCAGATCTGTACAGATTGCTGTTGTGAGGTCATCTGGAGAAAGTGAAGAATCCCAGTCTGCTTTTCAGATTATCTTTGCCCATTCTTTATCCACAGGCCTATAAAAGGGAGTTTCAGGGATTCATTTTTTCCTTAACTTGCTGTCTGATCTGGACAGACCGTCAGAGGCAGGCAGACACCGGAAGGCCCCTCATTCCCGGGAAGGTGACCTTCGTTGAAGGACAGAATCTTTTAACCTGAATCCAGCAACTGTCACCTGTGCTAGCTTCCAGGGAACTGCTTAGTAATTAAGCTTTGCAACATTTAGATTGCTGTTCTGAATCTATATGCAACAGCTTTTTTATTTATTGATTATAACGGGGCTCCATGTGTGTGGAGTTTGCATGTTCTCTGCATGTCATCGTGGGGTTTCCTCTGGGTTCTCTGGTTTCCCCCCACAGTCCAAAAACATGCTGAGATTAAGTGGAGTTACCGAATTGCCCATAGGTGTCCATGTGTGAGTGGATGGTGTGTGAGAGTGTTCTGCGATGGGTTGGCTCCCCATCCTGGGTTGTTTTCTGCCTTGTGCTCCTCGGCTCCGGACCACCTGCAACCCTGAATAGGACAAGACATTGCAGAAAATGGATGGAGGGATGGATGAAACTTGCTTGATGGATGAAGCTGCTGTAAGGAAATACTGTATTTTTGAGCAAACTTGTCTTGCACAAATTGCTAATATGTCATTAAATGGTGTGTGTGTGTGTGTGTGTGTGGTGCAGCTAGGCTGAGCTTCCAGTGAATGCCCATGCAGGTACGAGTGTAAGCAGGACTGGAGAACAACTTCTGACATTATGCATGTTTACAGTAGGGAACATACAGAGGCATCAGGCAAGTAGAGAGAAAGCACTGAAATGCATGGGCAGAACGTGGAAGGGGTATTCGAACCCGCAACCCTCTGTGTGTGAACCAACCAATTTGTGATGACCATTCAGTATGTCTGCCCGGCAGCCCAACTGTCATGATTATGCATTCCTGTATTTTTTTATTTTTTAATGGCTGGTTGGAATATATCAAATGTTTTTTTTTCCTTCTTTGTTTTAAGAAAAGTTACCCATCTACTTGTTGACTGAAAGAGAATTTAAATGTGTAATGTCTGGAGGGGGTGTGTTGCATTTTTCCAGCTTGCTTTGTGAAACTGGAATTTTTCTATGCAACTTGCGTAAAATGCGACTCCACTGCATGGATTATTCATGGAGAGCCCATTCCCGTCATGTGCACAAACCCGGAAATTTTGTCAAGTTGCAAAGTGCATCCACATGCATTTTGGGTGAAGTTCTTATATTAGAATTTTCTCCTGCACTTGTAGAAATATGTTCGCTTAAGGCATCTGTGGTGGATGAGGTATAAATGTACGGCTTTTGCTTTCTACTGCTAGAGCAGGGGTGGGCAATCTTACCCGCAAGATCGGGCCGGTGTGTATGCAGTTTTTTGGGATAACCTTTAGGTCAGCTGTTTAAACCCAGGTGTGAGGACTCTTCAGCCAATCAGTCCTCTAATTAGTAATCTAATTAGGGAGTTGCACCGAAAACCCACATACACACCAGCCCTTTGCGGATAAGATTGCCCACCCCTATGCTAGAGTATCTGCTGTGTGCGTGTGTCGGTGATTTTCTAATTATTGGTCACGACCTCCAAGAGTGTCATTGGGTGGAAGGCTGTAATTTTGCACAACGAAGCTCAGTGAGCATAAGCATTTAAAACTATTAGAACAAATATTTACCACACAGGAAGGTGAATATTAGAAAGCTGAACCTTATTGTTTCAGCATAACTGAAGTTAGGTCGAATTGTTTTTTTTTCAGCTGAAAAAATACTCTGAAATGAAGATGGTAATGAGAGTGCAGATAAACCACATTGTAGTTGTGCTTCTCAGAGAATTGAAATCAGGTCAGGGGTAGATTGGGGGCTACACATTGTAGCATTGTGAAATTCTGCCAGATCATTATCATATGTGTGCATGAAGCTGTCTAATCAACTGTGTTTTTACCCACCCCAGAATCTACCCAATAGATTCGACCCCATAACCGGATTAATGAAGACAAGCCCTAATTTAACCGAATGAGGGTTTTGTGCTGCTCCGTGCAAGAAATCAAAGATCTATGCAGCAGCTTTTGATTGTGTGCATTACAGCCAGAAGCTAATCGAAGCTAAGATTACATTTTTCAGCTATGTTAATTGTTTTGAAGCTGGTTCAATTGTAATTTTCCATTTTCTCTGCCATGTATGTGATTACAGCACAAATGGCAGTGACGGCTGTATACTTTCCTGGTCATTTTACAGCTGACCAATCTAGACGATGTTTTGCTTCTGTGAATGATGCCATGCAGGAGCTTTTAGATGGATCCACCTGCAGTCTTGCATTATCGGGTTGTACATGCGTGAGGCTTCTGGCCAAAAGCTCTTCGCCAGTTATGACGGTCAGATTGTTGAAACCTGGATCTCTTGCAGTGTCAGCCCAGTCTCCCTCCTCTCCATGTTGTCGATCGTGGCTTTTTCCTTGCTGTATGTAGGTCAGGTGCTCTCCTCCCCCCCCCCCCACAGCCGTGCTTGTCTGTGGCAGCGCTGGCAGTTACAGGCAGAGCTGTGAATGCCCGCATTGATTTCTGTTTGAAGAGACTTCCTGCTATAGCGGAGTGCCATTGGTTAACCAATCTCTGCAAATCTCAGTGTTCCATTCGCAGCCCCACTCTGCAGCAGGGATACTTAAGTCTCTGAATCTATTTCTTCAGGATAACTCCTCCAGTTGATCACCCCACCAGACTTTTGGGGAACTTAAATTCCCCCCCCCCACCACCACCCCATCTCATCCCTTTCCTTGTGCCAGAATCCAAATGGTAGCCTTGATCCCCCAGGAATTCCTGGGGCAAACTTCCGGAGACCCAACTGTCAGGCTGTTCGACAGCTTGGAGATATGATTGATTGCAGTAGCGTGGTTTTAATTTCTGCTGAAAAGTTTCACATTCCTGACAAAGGTGAGAATAAGCAAATTGCCTCTTGCCTTCATAACAAGAAAAATTAATCATGTCCTTCCTGAGCTGTGTAACAAATTTCTGCTATACACCTTGCTTTTTGTCTTTGTTTATCTATTGC